TTTTAGCGAGTCATATTTGTAGCCTTATTTCATTATTGTGATTTTCTTTTCCTGTTAATATTCTTAAGCTGTGGGAATTTGATAAAAAAATGCAGAGATTACTAGTGGGTGCCAATATATATATATATAAGATGTACTAATTGATCTTTATCTCTCACATAAGTTATTTTCTTTGTTAATCGATTTTTAAAAAAAAAAGACAGTTCAAGAATTGGAAGTTTAAACAGTATCAGTGACATTCAAAATTGCAAAGTCAAACATAATAATGTAAAAGAAAATTGATTCGGATGAAATGGTGAATAGGAGTCTCCATGCAAAACCATGCAAAGAAAGTCAACTCAAATAATTTAAAGCTGTGGAATAGAAGTCTCCTGAAAATCATTATAAAAAGTGGTGGGGTCTTCATGCAATTTTGCGCCTACAGAGTTTGGCCGTCTTTTCCACAAACAGTTGGGAATTTGAGATTGCATTAACTCAGGAAATCCGACGCGGTTTATATATATATATATATATATATACACATATATATATACACACACATTTTGTAGATGAGACGATAAATATACAATTATATACGAGCTTCTCAACCGTACATGATCACCAATCTTAATTAGCCTTCACAATATTTCTCTATATAAATCCCGTTTCTCATAATATTCCACCACTATCCAAGACATCTTTTGCTATATATCACATACAGAATAATATTGTACGTATATACCTTGCCAAAGATGACATCTAGGGTTCTTCTTCTCCTGCTAGTTGGTGCTTTTATTTGCACCAGTAACGCAAGGAAGCTTGGGACTGGAAAGGGTTCGTATGAAGACGAGAAAACGTTCTACCGCCGCCCTAGATTTGGCGGTGGGGGTGGCCTAGGTGGTGGAGGCGGCGGCGGCTTTGGTGGTGGTGGAGGGTTAGGCGGCGGCGGTGGTGCCGGTGCTGGTGCTGGGGGTGGATTTGGAGGTGGTGCTGGAGCTGGGGGTGGTGGTGGGCTTGGAGGCGGCGGTGGTGGAGGGTTTGGTGGTGGAGGCGGGGGAGGAGTTGGTGGTGGAGCTGGTGGAGGCTTTGGAGGTGGAGCTGGATATGGAGGAGGTGCTGGTGCTGGTGGCGGACTTGGTGGGGGAGCTGGAGGAGGCGGCGGTGGAGGGTTCGGAGGTGGCGGTGGCGGTGGACTTGGTGGCGGTGCTGGTGGAGGGTTTGGAGGAGGAGCAGGTGCTGGGGGTGGACTTGGAGGTGGATTGCCTTGACCAGAAATTAATGAGCTACATTTCTGCGTGCACCTTGCATTAATTCAAGAAGAAGAAGAAAAAGAAGAGAAAAAATCTCCATGTTTTTTTCTTTTATTTTATTTATTTTATTTTTATTTTATTTTTCAAGAAGTGTTCCTCTATTTGTACGGTCATGGGTCATGTTGTAATTGATTCTAGTCCTTTTATCCTAAATTAATTTCTAATTGGACGGATGTCAATGAAGAAATTTTTATTAAAACTTATCTGCATGTGCTTAATATTCCCATATTATAATATAATCTAATTTATTTTACAAAGACGTACGTGCACTAGTGCGCCTTCCCAAAAAAAAAAAAAAAAAAAAAAAAAAAAAAAAAACAACTTCATGCATAAATACGAAATGAGAAGTGAACCAAGCAATTATTTCAAAACCACTGTCGTTCATGCCTTAGAAAATTTAACTAAATATTTGTTGTTTTGGTTTTTTTTTTTTTTTTTTCTCAACATTCTGTCTACATGACATGAAAATCATCGGTAACTTATTATATCAAAATTTTATTACCATCCTTTTTCTTGCATGCGACTTAGCATCACTTACGCTTGCACATGACACTTCTACCATTTTCGGCTACTTTCGATTTAAAAGTTTTGGTCAAACATGATATTTGTCATTTTTTTAATAATTTTAAATATCATTTTTAGTGTCACGACCATGATGAATCTTCCTCCTTTTCTCATTTTCCCACTACCGTTTGAAATATATGTATATATGTAGAGGGTGAAATTGTACAATTAAATTTATAAGAGACCGATGATTAAATTCGGATGATTATGTTAGTAATGCGTATGCAATGAAATAAATCGACAGAAAAATGAAAGAGATAAAAATATAGAGATTTTATAGAAGTTCCCTCGACGATGAAAGAGCTATGTCCTCTGTTGGGTCTTCGGTGATTGCATTATGATTGTAGAAGAAAATTATAATAGTGTTCTCTGCAAATGCCAAGAGAAATAAAATGGAAAAATACTGAAAAGTATGAGCAAGAGATAAAAAAAATCTATCTAAAAATGTACGTATTTCTTTTCTAGTTATTCTTTTTTTGAGTAGAAATTTAAACTAAAACTTCAAATTTTTGTAAGAGAGAAAACACTATAGGAAAAAAATTGAATTTGATTCAAACTTATGAACAGAACGAGCTCATCTTGTTGTTTTTTCTTCTTCTTTCAATTAAAGCAAAGTTTCATAGTAGATGGAATTTCATAATAATTAATTCAGAACGAAAAATAAGTAAACCTTGTAATTAAAGTAGATGATAAATATTTGAGATCTATGTCCACATGGAAAAGCAAATCAACTAAACTAAAACAACCACTGATCTTAGGGCCGGCACTACAAACTATTAGAGGTCGCAATTTCTTATTTGGAGAAATGCTAACGTCATTATTTTTGTCATTCTCTTTTGTCACTTTCTGCAATTATTGTTTGACACTTGAACTACATTATCTAATTTTATGTTTAAATAATAATATATCATATTAATAGAGTACACGTGTCCAACAGTTAATACAAAAAGTGACAAAAAAAAGTGTTAGAAAGAGTGACACTAGTATACTCTTATTTGAAAAAACAATCATGGAATGCACATATATAATATAGCCATCTTCAATACTTCTAACATTCTATATAAACCCCTCATAATTCCTATTATTTCCCCACTCAATTATTTCCATTTTAATTTTCTCATCATCTTGATTATTAACTAAATATCACAACAATATTTTGAGCAGATCCATGCGTTTATTTGATCGGTTTGAATTACCGCTCAAATTTTTTGGGACATATATTTTCTCATAAAATTTAAAATTCTGTTTAAACTTAGGAACAAAACGGGCCCTAAAATGGTGACAGTCAGGTTTCTTCTTCTTGTGATCATGTTTGCAGCCCAAGCTCTGCGAGGAAGCTTTTGATGGAGGTTAGTGTGAATTATGATGCAGTTGAATCGTTCGGAATCACTGATTTGGCTGCAATCTCCGTTGTTGATGAACAACAGATCAAGTTTCGAGAAATATTTATCAAATCTTGGCAATACTTTTTGAGAGGAACGTGATTAATTATGAACTCTACAAAACTTTCCAACTTTTCTTAAATAAATTGCGAGATCTCATGATATTAGAGACCATTAGCACATTTCAACTGGGCACAAAAACTTTCATATTTACTTAATTTCCTTTCTCATTAATAAATGACCAACCATAATGCATATATGTCTATCTATATACTTTTGTAGACAATACCATATAAGGTGTATATATATATATATATATATACTTGATATCGTAGTCTAAGTGAAATTGTATTCAAGAAGCTAATCTCCTTGGCTCGGCGGTACTCTGAACAATTCTTTATCTGACTTGATGCATGGATATATATATATATTAGTTTTTAGCGCGCTATGCATGCCTGATTCATTTTTAAATCACGGTTACATAAATTGTTTTAACTAATTTTGTTGTGTTGGTACAAAACACGTTACAGTATATAGTGATCCAAAGCCTATTTGGTCCGGCCTGAAAAGTTCGCGGGTGCGACATATGTGGTGAAATTTTAATTATGAAAATTTAACTTAATTTGTTGTGTTTTAAATTAGATTTATTTTGTTTTGTTTGCTATGTTTTTTACTTAATTCAATGTGGTTTTATTTTATTTTAGTGTATATTTGTATAATTTTATTTTTTTATGCAAATTATTTATAGTATTTTTATTTGAGTAGCATCAATGCAAATCGATATTAAAATGAATAAATTGAAAAACAAATCAGTTCAAAATAAATAAATAAATACAATAAATAATAATAAAAATAAATTTCTGTATTTTTTGGGTCGTATGATCATAATAAGGACGAACGACTAAGAATGGCGGGTGCATCCCACAAACAGGCAAAGGCGCGTCCAGTGGAGGAAGGGAGACAGGCCGTGTCAAAAAAAATAATAATAAGGAAAAAAATAAGAACGAGAAAAAAGGGATGATAAAAAATGAAAAGAGAGAGGAAAGGGGATTTAAAAAAAATAGACAAAGATGTGTATGAAACGAATTTTTTTAATAGGAAAATGGATAAAATATATTTATGAGGGTCACAATTGGAGAAAGCGAAAAGAAAAAAAAAGAGAGGAAGAATGTGTAATAAGACAAGAGTGAGGGAGTAGGGAACAAAAAGAAAAAAAAAGAGGGAGGGGGGAAGAAGAGGCGGACCAGAGATATTTTAAGACAACTAAAATGTTATTCATTCCCACGTGGATAAAATCCCATTACTAGTAAAGTGACAACCTTGCTGGACTCATTTTATATGAGCAGCGGGATTTTATCCCTATAGAAATGAATAACAGTACTCTTAAAATAATGATTAATTTTAAATTTAATTATCAAAAAATAGAGACAGAGAGAAAAAAAAATCCCAAGGAGAAGAAGTTGACAAAAACAAAAGCAAAAACCAATAAAAAAATGAAAAAAAGAAAAAAAACCTGCTAGATGCAAAGAAAGGGAGGAAAAAAAAAACCAACGAAAAGTTTCGTTGGGGAAGCTAAGGGAGAAACCCATTCCCTCTTAGTAATGATGGATTCATATATATATATATACATATATATATATATCATTCAACTTGCTAAATGGAGTGACAAAAATGCCTAAAATCATTGAAGCACAACAACATGCTTTTATTTCGATATATATATATATATATATATTAATTAAATCAATACTGATGGAGTAACTAATCGTTCTCCAGTTACCAGAATGCGCTGGAATGTTCAAAACTTGTAGAGGTTTAGCAAAATGGTGTTTTGCAAAACCTTTAGGATTTTCTATGCTTGTACGTTTATAAGAGTCATTACTGCTATTTTGCCTGTCATGACTCCAAATATTGGAAACACATTTGATTGGAGTGCGATTCTGCTTATGTTGTTGATTTGTTGAATTGTTACTTGGATACAATTTCTTATCAGGGCTTATCACATTTTTCGTGAAAAAAATCATGTTGCTGACAGAACTACCTCTCATGTGGTCAATCTACATGGATATATATGATGAATTTTCTTTTTTCCTATTTAGTTTTCATTAGAGGGTTTTTAGCGAGTCATATTTGTAGCCTTATTTCATTATTGAGATTTTCTTTTCCTCTTAATATTCTTAAGCTGTGGGAATTTGATAAAAGATGCAGAGATTATTAGTGGGTGCCAATCTATATAAGATGGACTAATTATCTTTATCTTTGACCCAAGTTATTTTCTTTGTTAATTGACTTTTTTTTTTTCTTTTTAACAAAAGGCAGTTCAAGAATTGGAAGTTTAAACAGTGTCAGTGACATTCAAAATTGCAAAGTCAAACATGTAATAAATGTAAAAGAAAATTGACTCGGATGAAATGGTGAATAGGAGTCTCCATGCAAAACCATGCAAAGAAAGTCAACTCAAATAATTTAAAGCTGTGGAATAGAAGTCTCCTGAAAATCATTATAAAAAGTGGTGGGGTCTTCATGCAATTTTGCGCCTACAGAGTTTGGCCGTCTTTTCCACAAACAGTTGGGAATTTGAGATTGCATTAACTCAGGAAATCCGACGCGGTTTATATATATATATATATATATATACACATATATATATACACACACATTTTGTAGATGAGACGATAAATATACAATTATATACGAGCTTCTCAACCGTACATGATCACCAATCTTAATTAGCCTTCACAATATTTCTCTATATAAATCCCGTTTCTCATAATATTCCACCACTATCCAAGACATCTTTTGCTATATATCACATACAGAATAATATTGTACGTATATACCTTGCCAAAGATGACATCTAGGGTTCTTCTTCTCCTGCTAGTTGGTGCTTTTATTTGCACCAGTAACGCAAGGAAGCTTGGGACTGGAAAGGGTTCGTATGAGGACGAGAAAACGTTCTACCGCCGCCCTAGATTTGGCGGTGGGGGTGGCCTAGGTGGTGGAGGCGGCGGTGGCTTTGGTGGTGGTGGAGGGTTAGGCGGCGGCGGTGGTGCCGGTGCTGGTGCTGGGGGTGGATTTGGAGGTGGAGGTGGTGCTGGAGCTGGGGGTGGTGGTGGGCTTGGAGGCGGCGGTGGTGGAGGCGGGGGAGGAGTTGGCGGTGGAGCTGGTGGAGGCTTTGGAGGTGGAGCTGGATATGGAGGAGGTGCTGGTGCCGGTGG